GCTGAGGGAGCGCTGCACTGTCAGAAGGTCGGTGCTGAGGGAGCGCCACACTGTCGGAGGGTCGGTAACGAGGGAGTGCCGCACTGTCGGAGGGTCAGTAACAAGGGAGTGCTTGGGACGTCTCAACATGCAGAAAGGTTTGATATCGTTGTGTGTTACAGTGTGGGAATGTGGGTTTAAGTGTGTGTGTGTGTTGAGTGTGTGTGGGAGTCAGTGTATGTGAGAGTGGGAGGGCAGTGGGGGTGGTTGTGTGTGTGGGAGCAAGGTTGGTGGGCGTATGTAGTTGAGCCCCCAATCCAGTTGGCCACAATCTGATCAAAATTCAGAGCCAGGTGAAGGAGCTGAGTAGTCTCCTCCTGCTACTGGTTCATACATTGTTCGTACGTAGTATCTATGTTCAGGCTGACTCACCTCCAGCATACATCACTGCCAACATTATGGAGGAGATCCATGACACCTGGCTATCTGTGGAATGAAAGATGTCCTTAATTTCCTTAAAGAAGACAGTGATGGCTTTGGGAAAAGCGTAGGAGAATCCGATGGAGATGAAGGAGGCCAACACCACGGCCCAACCCCACCCTCCGTCCGGGGGCGTGTAACCCTGTGGCCCTCCGGCTGCAGGAGGCATCGTCTCAATTCACAAACAGCCAAAGCAGAGAGTCACTGCAAAAAGAAAAGGGGAGGAAAGGTTGAGAAAATACAGAAGCAGCAAAGAAACCAAACTCCAGACAAAGAGGAACATTGAACATGGTCCAGCAAGATGGGGGCGAGGGAAGGGGGTAACGATGATGACAAGTCAAATGACACCTCGTCCGCTCAAAAAATAACCAAATATGGGAGAGACACACCTGATCCAGGAATAGTTATAATGGAATAATGTTCTTCTGAATTCATTCATTGGAAGTGGACATTGTTGACTATGCCAGACATTTATTGCCTATCCCTAATTGCCCCCTGAGGAGATGGTGCTGACCTGCGTTCTTGAATACACTTGTCTCAGTCTGTGAAGAATTACTCTGGACACCTACGTAGGCCAGACCGGGTGAGGAGGGTAGATGTCCTTCCTGTCAGGACATGAGTGAACCAAAAGAGCTTTTATACCAATCCAGTAGGTTCATGGTCATCGTCATGGAGAAGAATATCTTATTACAGGTTTACTTCATGAATTGATTTAAATTTCAATATTGTCTGAGATTTCAACTTGTCTCAACATCAGTAACCCAGGTTTCAGTATTACCAGAACCAGTAATATAAATCCTATGAGACTGTGCTCATTTACAAAGGGAACTTTACTCTCTATCTAACCCCATGCTGTTCCTGATGTGGGAATATTTGTTGGGGGACGGTGTAGAGGGAGCTTTACTCTGTATCTAACCCTGTGCTGAACCTCTCCTGGGAGTGTTTGTTGGGGGACAGTGTAGAAGGAGCTTTACTCTGTATCTAACCCTGTGTTGTCCCTGTCCTGGGAGTGTTTGTTGGGGGACAGTGCAGAGGGAGCTTTACTCTGTATCTAATCCTGTGCTGTCCTTGTCCTGGGAATGTTTGCTGGGGGACACTGTAGAGGAAGTTTTCCTGTCCACATAAACTGTGATGTATGAAGCTGTCAGTGATAGCCAGTGCTCAATACTGTTCTTTGACCAACATCAGAAGACGCTCCTCCTTTTCCAAATAGCCTCTGCCTGGGGTTCAGAGGAAGGCCACATTGAGTTCTTGTTGTAAGTCTCTCCATTTCCTGTGCACTGTTGCCTAGATCCAACATTTGTCAGAGTTGTTACCAAACTCAAATATTGACTCCTTTCCCAGAAGTTGAAGTACAGTCATTCACAAATATTTATTCCCCTTTTGACTCTGATGAAGGCCAAACTCCAACAAACTGGTTTCTATCTGGTTAGAGATTGCTGGATTTCTTGATTCTAATGAGGTAGATGATCTAGACCAGTGGAGAAGGCTCAAGGGGCTGAATGGCCTGCTCCTATGTTCCTATCTCTTGAGCTGCCCACTGTGTTTCATAAACAATGGCCAATGACAGAACACTCAGACTAAGATTAAAGTCCCTGTCAGTGACATCTTCACTCCTATGTACCACATACACAGGACAGTACCTTCCCAGATCCTGAAATCGCACGCTGCAATGCAGAACCAGCAGGAAGTTCTTGAGCAGAAGGGTCAGTCCTATGGCCAAACTCCTTCCCGTTTTCTGTTAGGATGGTACTACTAGACAAGTCAGATCCTAGAATGAAATCTGGCCCCATTGATTATTTGCATATATTCCTTACAGAGTGGTCAGTCACCAAAATATTACACAAGGCTTCAGAGTCTCTCTAACAACAGAACCAAAGCTTCTACACAAAGAATAAATACAAACACAGTAAAACAAGCAGACGAGATGTAGATGACAATTTAAGAAGATCTTAAAATGCAAAGCAAAAGAAAAATGTCTACATATTTCCCAACAACATCAGGTTCTACTCAATTAATTCTTCTAAGTTTCTTTCCTGTAGACTGTGAAGCCTTCTTAAATGAAGTGGGTGGTGGTAGGGGATGGGATAGTTGGTGAAATATGACGGTAAGCTAGCTAGTAATATTAAAGTAGATTGCAAGATTTTTTTTAGATATATTAAAGGTAAGAGAGAGGCAAGAGTGGACATTGGGCCACTGGAAAATGAGCCTGGTGAAGTAGTAACGGGGAACAAAGAAGTGGCAGAGGAACTGTGTAGGTATGTTGCCTCAGTCTTCACAGTGGAAGACACCAACAGCATACCAGAACTTTAAGAGAGTCAGGGTGCAGAGCTGAGTGTAGTGGCCATCACTCAGGAGAGGGGTTGGGAAAGCTGAAAGGTCTGAAGGTGGATAAATCACCCAAACCAGGTGATCTACACTCCATGGTTCTGAAGGAGATCGCTGAGGGGATTGTAGAGGCATTGGTGGTGATCTTTCAGGAATCACCGGAGTCAGGGAGGGTCCCAGAGAACTGGAAAATGGCTAATGTAATAGCCCTGATTAAGAAAGGAGGGAGGCAGAAGACTGGAAACTATAGGCTGGTTAGCCTGACCTCGGTTGTTGGTAAGATTTTAGAGTCTGTTATTAAGGATGAGAGTATTTGGTAAAATACGTCTGAGTCAGCATGGCTTTGTCAAGGGGACGTCATGCCTGACAAATCTGTTAGAATTCTTTGAGGAGGTAATGAGCAAGTAAGACAAACGGGAACCAGTGAATGTGATATATTTGGATTTCCAATAGGCTTTTGACAAGATGCTGTATAGGAGGCTGCTAAATAAAGTAAGAGCCCATGGTGTTAGGGGCAAGGTACTGGCATGGATAGAGGATTGCCTGACTGGCAGAAGGCAGAGGGTAGGAATAAAGGGGTCTTTTTCAGGATGGCAACCGATGACTAATAGAGTTCTGCAGGAATCAGTGTTGGAACCATAACTATTCATGTCATACATTAACAATCTGGACAAAGGAACTGACAGCATTGTTGCTTAGTTTGCAGATGACACACAGATAGTTGGAGGACAAGGTAGCGTTGAGGAAACTGCAGAAGGACAGAGGCTAGGAGAGTGGGCAAAGAAGTGGCAGATGGAATATAATGTGGGAAAGTGTGAGATTGTGCATTTTGGTAAGAAGATTAGAGACGTAGACTGTTTTCTAAATCAGGAAACGCTTTGGATATCTGAAGAACAAACAGACTTAGGGGTTCATTTCAGGAATCTCTAAAGGTTAACATGCAGGTTCAGTTGGCAGTTAGGAAGGCAAATACAATATGAGCATTTAATTCAAAAAGGCTAGAATACAAGGACAGGGATGTACTGCTGTGGCTGTATAAGGCTCTGCTCAGCGGCATTTGGAACATTGTGAGCAGTTTTGGACCTTGTACCTAAGGAAGAATATGCTGGAGCTGGAGAGGATCCAGAGGAGGTTTACAAGAATGATCCCAGGCATGAAGGGTGGTTCAGGACTCTGGGTCTGTACTTGATGGAGTTTAGAAGGATGAGGTCGGATCTGATTGAAACGTAGAAAGTACTGAGAGGCCTGGATAGAGTGGACATGGAGAAGATGTTTCCGCTAGCAGAAGAGACTAGGACCCAAGGGCACAGCCTCAGAGTGAAGAGACAACCCTATAGAATTGAGATGAGAAAGAATTTCTTTAGCAAGAGGGTGGTGAATCTGTGGAACTCACTGCTGCAGAGGGCTGTGGAGGCCAGGTCAGTGAGTGTATTTAAGACAGAGATAGATTGGCTGTTGATTGGTAAGGAGATCAGGAGTTATAGGGAGAACGCAGAAGAATGAGTATGAGAAACATATTAGCAATGACTGCATAACAAAGTAGACTCAAGGGGTTGTTTGGCCTAATTATGCTGTTGTATTTTATATGTACAAAATTGAGAGCTTAAACATTGTCAGCTTTTAATAACCTGCAGATTTCCAATCAACCTTCCCTGGTCGGGAACCTCCAAAATCTATACATTTCCTTTGAGGTAACTGTGTTGAGTAAGGAGAGAAAATTAAACTTGTTCCTGACACCAGTCAGGTCATCTCCAAACTACTGTAAAAACATGCAATCTCTCGGTTTACCAGCTGAAAATCAAGCTTTGATTATTCTGAACTAAGAACAAGTTAATGGCCTTCAAAGTCTACCATTTGTCATAAACCACTGTGCCATAAATAATGTTTCCCCACAGAGCACTGCAGCTAGTGACTTCTGACAGAGGCTGGACTATGTTCACTGAAGTTTCACAAGATCACTCTGACCTTGATTTTATTGTAAACAAAGCACTTTACTAAAGTAACCAACACCCATATGAGCTTCTGTTTTGAAATCCAAATGCCAAAAATTACATAAGAACAAAAGAGAAGTACAGCACAGGAACAGGCCCTTCGGCCCTCCACGCCTGTGCTGATCATCATGCCCGGACTAAACTAAAGAAAACAAACCTTCTGCCCTTATTCGGTCTGTATCCCTCTACTCTCTCCCTATTCATGTAACCATCCAGATGCCTCTTAAATGTCTAAACGTGCCTGCTTCCACCATCTCCTCTGGCAGTGCATTCCAGGCTCCTACCACTCTCTGTGTGAGAAACTACCTTCGTATATCTCCCTTAAACTTTCCCCCTCTCACAGTGAACCTGTGTACCCTTGTAATTGAAACTTCAAGCCTGGGAAAAAGCCTCTGACTACCCACCCTATCTATGCCCCTCATAATTTTGCAGACTTCTATCAGGTCTCCTCTCAGCCGCCGTCTTTCCAGTGAAAACAATCCTAGTCTTTTTAACCTTTCCTCATAACCAATGCCCTGGAGACCAGGCAACATCCTAGTGAGCCTTCTCTGCAGTCTCTCCAAAGCTTCCACATCCTTCTGGTAATGTGGTGACCAAAACTGTGCACAATACTCCAAATGCGGCCTAACAAGAGTTTTATAAAGCTTCAACACGGTTTGCCAACTCTTGTACTCCATGGCCTGGCTGATTGAAAGCAAGTATGCCAAATGCCTTCTTAATCACTTTGGCCACCTGTGTTGCCACTTTTGGGGAACTGTGGACCCGCACACCCAGATCCGTCTGTATGTTAAAGTTCCTAAGGGTTCTGCCATTTACAGTATAATTCACACCTAAATTTGATCCTCCAAAATGCATCACCTCGCATTTGTCTGGTTTAAACTCCATCTGCCATTTCTGTGCCCAAGTCACCAATCTATCTGTATGCTGTTGTACCCTTTCACAATCGTTGGCACAATCAACAGCTCGTGTCATTTTCTCACCAGTGTCCCCAATCCATTCACAAATAACCAGTTAATTATACAGATTGGTTGTCTGCCTCTCTTGATGCTGCGTTGAAAGATTTATGATTTATATATGAATAATATGGGAACTGGAACAACAGGCCATTAAGTGCAGGGATTCGGGACAAAGGAGAGACTGAGATATGCATAGTGCAGAGTAAGAGCAGGCAGAGGGAAGTCACAGGGCTCAGAGGGAGGTCTGGAGTGCATTTACTTCAATGCAAGAAGTATAGCGGGTAAAACAGATTATCGAAGAGCATGGATTACTGAATGGAGTTATGATGTTATTGCCACTACGGAGACATGGTTAAAGGAGGGATAGGACTGGCAGCTTAACATTCCAGGATATCGCTGTTTTAGACGGGACAGAAAGGGAAACAAAAAGGGTGGGGGAGTCGCATTGCTGATTTGGGATCACATCACAGCTGTGTCACGGGAGGACACAACGGAGGGATCTTGCAGTGAGGCATTATGGGTGGAGTTCAGGAACAGGAAGTGCGAAATCACAATGTTGGGAGTTTTCTATAGACCTCCCAACAGCCCACGGGAGACAGAGGAGCAGATATGTAGTCAGATACTGGAAAGGTGTGAGAAAGGCAGGGTGGTTGTGGTGGGTGACTTTAACTTTCCTCTTATTGACAGGGACTCCCTTAGAGCCAGGGGCTGGGATAGAGAGCACTTTGTTAGACCCCCTCCCCCCCATCATCCGGGTGTCCAGGCAACCAGGACAAGTTTGAGTTCCAGAAATGGACACAACTCACACTCCTCACCCCAAAGTCGGATTTTGCTCAGATTCCCTTCCTGCAGGACACGCACAAGGTGATCTGTGAGTCAGAGGGTCTGTGAAGGGAATCACCCCTCCTGCAAATAATGGCTAAGGATAGTCAGCATTGGGAGTGGGAAAAGCCTGCACTTCTGTAGTGCCTTTAATATAATGACCCCTTCCACGGGAGTGTTCCCAAAAATAATTTGACACCGACACATGTACTTAGATATTTGAACAGTAGAGTCAGGTTTGAAAGAGCATTGTAAAGGAGGAAATCGAGGTAAAGAGACAAAGAGGTTTAAGGATAGAATTCCCAAGCTCAAAGCAGCTGAAGGTTCAGAAAGTTGGAGATCAGGAGCTGCAATAGGCCATCGTTCATGGAGTGTAGCAATCTCAGAGTGCTGAGTGACTGAGGATTATTACAGACAGGGGGCAATGCCTTGGAAATAGGATGTGAACTGTTAACTGGAGGTATTGCTGGACTGAGAGCCAGTGTAGGTCAGCAAGTTAATGGGCTAATGAAACTCAGTAGGAGCTAGAAGATGTGTAGCAGAGTTTTGGATGAGATTTTACAGACAAGCCACAGAGTTTGTGAAGATTCTGTTCAGGAGGGAGGTTGGTAATTCACCCAACACAGGAGGAAAAGATACAGAATGAGGGGGAGAGAGAGAGAGAGAGACAGAGACAGAGAGAGAGACAGAGAGAGACAGACAGAGAGAGAGATAGAGTGACAGACTCACACTCAGTGCAAGTACAGCTGAGCAAAGACACTGAAGCAGGGATGCAGCTTCAGAGAAACAGGTAGACAGAAAGGTTGACACCTGAATGATCTGTTAATATTGAGAGGGTGAGGGTGGCAGGGGAAGGAGAAGGAACAGGGATAGAGGCGGTAACCAACTCCATCCTGTTTCACACTCATATTAATCGTGGCATTTCTAAATCCTCGGCTTACTGGCCAAGCAGCTCAGGAGCTGAACGTTCAGCTAAGACACTGTTCGAACATTATCCTAGCAAACCAAACACTAATTACAGTTGAGAGAGCTCTGTGCCAATCACTGACTCATAAAGAGGGTGTAATTTAAATATCCTGTAAAGTTAATCATTGTATAAAGCAGTTAATCGTGCAAAATGTGTTAAATTCACCTCAAGTCCCTGCCTGATGATCAAATGCAGCTCTGGGCCATTGCCTTCCCTGCCTTAGGGTTACTCAGGCATCCAAACCCTCTCAGAGACTGTCAGGCCCCACCACAGAGTGCTGGGTCAGACAATGGTCACAGCTGCACCCAGTCTAACTTTGGCCTGTACTGAAGGCACAGTGCCACATTGTCCACTCCAACCCCACATCACTGGGCATGCGCACCTACGCTCATAGTAACACCATGACTCAGTCCCAGGACAGTCTGGTAAACCTGGAAGAAGGGTCCCAGCCCGAAACATCAGCTTTCCTGCTCCTCTGATGCTGCCTGGCCTGCTGCATTCCTCCAGCACCACACTGTGTTATCTCTGACTCCAGCATCGGCAGTTCTTACTATCTCTCAGTCTTGAACCCTTGCAACAGAAAGGTAATTCCTCAGTGGCTGGCAATGCCTTTACACTGTGTGTTAATGCATATTTGTGTTTAAGCGTCTGTGTATGCGTATGTGCATGCGTTTGTCAGTGAATGTATGTGTCGAGTGGGTGTAAGTGTATACAGGGGGATATAGATGTGTGTGTGCGTGAGTGTGTGTGCGCGAGTGTGTGTGTGTGTGTGTAAGTGTCAGTGTGCGTGGATGTCTATAAGCATGTGGGTGTCTGGAAGTGTGTGTGTATGTATAAGTGCATGTAAATACAAGTTTATGCAGGTGTGTCTAAGTGTGTAAGCTTGAGTGTGTAAGTGTTAGTGTTAATGTGGGTGGCTATAAATGTGAGTACTTATGTGTGTGTGTGCAAGTGTGAGTGAGTCTTTCTATCTGCACTTTTTGCCTCTGTCGCCATATTTCCATCATTCACTGTGTCTGCCCTCTCTCTATGTCCGTGTGAGTGTGTGTGTCTGTGAGTGAGTGTGTTTGTGTCTGCGTGAGTGTGTGCATGTGTGTCTCTCTCTCACTCACTCTGTGTAGAAGAAGGTGCTGCTTTCAAATCCGTGCTGGTGGAGGAGAGGTCTGCATGTGTTGGCGATGGCTGGAGATCGCAATGTTGTGCAGTTGTAAACTTCAGGCCTGAGCCGCACACCCAGCCCAGGGAATATCTGTATCCTTCACTGTAGGCTGGGAAATTCCAATTTGCAGTGCATTACCATGTTCAGAACTTTCCAGTACTGACTGAGGCCATTCAGCCCACTCCAATGATGCTGGCTTTGCACTAGATCAACCCAAAACTAGCCACACTCGCTGTGCTCTCTCTCACCATAGCTTTGCATTTCAATCTGCCTTGAAAATTTGTTTAATTTTGCCCTGAAGGCTGCTGTGATCACTGTTTCAATGCATTGCTGTGGTAAAACGCTCCACACTTTGCAGTAAATTCTCCTAAACCTCGCACGCACTTCCTCTGTGATTATTTAAAATTGAGGACTTTCATTAGAAGACCACAATGATTGCTTTCCACAGTTACAGACTGTGTGACACTTTCAACTGACAACATAAATGAATCCATATGGAGAGGATATCAGTGTCAAACTAAAGGGTGTGTCCAGGACATTCAGAAATCTTCAAATTTACACTTTGGAAAATTATTCCCACGCACTGGGAACACTTATTTAATAAGTGTTTGCCAGTTGTCTCTACAGTTTAGTACTGAATGGTCCATTTGTTTTACATAGAACATAGAACAGTACAGCACAGGAACGGGCCCTTCAGCCCACAATGTTGTGCCAAACAAGACGCCAAATTAAACCAATCCCTTCTGTCTGCCCTCGTTGCACATTCATGTGCTCATCTAAAAGTCCCTTACATATCCTTATCTTATCTGCCTCCACCATCAGCGTGCTCCAGACTCCTACCACTCTCTATGTGTTTGAAGCATCTGGGATTTCTGACACAAGAAACCAGAGAGAGTTTTTCTATTTGTACAGACCCTGAGTACACCACTGGAGACAAAGGGACATTTACCCAATGGAGGATGTTTGCTTTGATCTTTGTGTTTTGGAGCCACATTTTATTAAATTTGCTGGGGATATTTATTACAACGAGAGGAATTACAGGAGCAGGAATTAGCCACACAGCCTCTCACATGTGTTCAATAAGATAACAGCTGATATCCTATCTCGCCTGCCCAACCTCTCAGCAACCTCCTTGTCAGCATCAAACAGTAGAATACAAACAGTCCTAAATTTTCACTGTAAATTCTCGCCTTCTGTGACCAAGCCTAGCCCTCACTCACTCAAATAGTCAGGCCATTTCAGAGGCCACTTAAGTCACATACAGGCCAAACTGAATAAGGATGGCAGTTTCCATCCCGAAAGGGCAATATTGAACCAAAATGCTTTCTAAGACAATTGGTGATAGCTTCACGGTCACCGTCGGAAACTAGTTTTAAGTCAGGATTTGTGAATTTTTTTTATTTTAATCAACCTGTTTCAGCATGTTATGACACACCTCTGGCACAGGTGGGATTTGAACACAGGCTTTCTGGTTCAGAGGTAGGGGCACTACCACTGTGCCACAAGAGCCCCATTCAGGGGTTCACTATTAATTGAGGTCAAATTCTACCAGCTAATGCAGTGGGATTTAATCCCATGTTCCCAGGGTTCTAACATGGGCCAGTGGATTCCTGATCCAGCGATATTACCACTCCGTGATCCCCTAAAACATTGGAAGATTTTGGACAATGATGGAAGTCATTCAGCCCATCGTGTCAATGCTAGCCATAAAGAGCTTTCCAGTCTGCTCCCTTATTGTAGCTCTTGGTTCGAAGCACTTCGTTTCAATTAATTGATACAATGAATCTTTATCATTTGCAGATTGTGACTTTCCTCAGTTTTTGTTTCTTCTCAAAGACACTCTTTACCCTCCAATTCCTCAACTAATATACAGTCCCAAGTGTGGATAAGGTAGCCCTCGTGGTGTAAATGAGAGCCACAGCTCAATATTATCAACAAGTCAGAGGCTGGGAATCCTGTGGCGAGTAACTCACCTCCTGATCCCCAAAGCCTGCCCACCATCTACAAGGCACAAGACAGGAGTGTGATGGAATACTCCCCACTTGCCTGGATGGGGGCAGCTCCAACAACACTCAAGAAGCTTAATACCATCCAGGATAAAGCAGTCGGCTTGATTGGCACTACACCAATAAACATCCAATCCCTCTGCCCCCAACGCTCAGTAGCAGCAGTGTGTACCATCCTCAAGATGCTTTGCAGGAAGTTCAATGCAAGCTGGAGGAAAAGCACTTCATCTTTCCTCTTAGGGACTTCACAGCCTTCATGATTCAACATTGTGTTTAACAATTTTAGACCACGAACATCTCCTTGCATGTCTGTTACCCACACCCACACCCACACCCACACCCACTGGCCTGTCATGAGCTTCTATTGGTACAGTCACCTTATTTTCACCCACTCACAGTCCCCATCACCATCAATCTCACTTCTCTTCTTCCCTGGGGAAGACCATCAACAATCCATTTGTCTGCCCACTTTTACTTCTCTCCCTCTAGGCTCCCTCTCCACCTATCTGTTCCCTCCTTTACCCCACTCCCCGCTCTGAGCCAGAAGACCTGTGTTCAAATCCCACCTGTGCCAGAGGTGTGTCACAACATGCTGAAACAGGTCGATTAAAATAAGAAAAAACTTCACAAATCCTGACTTAAAACTAGTCTCTGACAGTGACCATGAAACCCCACCATCAACATAAATACCACTTTTCCCGAGATGCTATTGGTCTGAAGAAGGGTCACTGGACTCAAAACATTAACTCTGTTTCTCTCTCCACAAATGCTGCTAGATCTACAGAGTTTCCCCAGCAATTTCTATTTCTGTTCCAGATTTCCAGCATCCGCAGTTCTTTGTTTTATTAAAGAATGTGGAATGATGTTAAGAAGTACCTCGTCCAGAAAGGGAAGTGATATGCCCTCCACAGAGTCTGTGACACATTGATTATTGATGGGGAATGGTATGAGGAAGGAGAGGTTCTGATGGCCCGAATGGCCAACTCCTGTTCTTTATTCTTTAGTGTGACGTTCTTGGATTTTCACCTTGCAACCACCCAGTGGGTGGAGGAGGCTGGTATTGACCCTGCATTTAGCTCGCTCAATGTCGAAGGTTGTGATTACTGCCCCCCGACTGACTGCACATTCTACATGGTCCCAAACCGGATAAAGATCACCGGCCACACCATCACAACCCGACAACATAGAGGAACATACCAAAAAAATAGACTGACCCTCCTGGAATGGACATCCATCCCCTTTCTTTCAATTCCCCATAAACATTCACCCTCTCCCCTTTGATTCCCCATAAACAATTACCCCTAACATTCACCCTCTCCCCTTTGATTCCCCATAAACAATTACCCCTAACATTCACCCTCTTCCCCTTTGACTCCCCATAAACAATTAGCACCAACCCACAAATATTCACCCTCTCCATGTAAACAATTGCCCCCAAAACCCCAACATTCACCCTCTCTCCTTCGGCTTCCCATAAACAAGCATCCCCAAAACTCCAAACATTTACCCCCATCTTCAAATCTTCATAAGCAATTAACCCCAAACCCCCAAATATTCAGCTTCTCTCTTTCAACTCCCCAATAATAATTCCCCAAAATAGTCACGATCTCATTTAAATCCGCACAAACAATTCCACCTAGGCAGAATACCTCCCCTTTCACAGTACACCGCACCCTCCCACCTCCCCCATTTATTCCAAATTCCGAAATCACAAAGACTCAACTTCAATCCTTCAGCATGTCCCACAGCCCGATGAAGCAATCCCCTGAATGATTCATCCTTCCCTCCGGTTCAACACCCCTGTAATTACCCCCCCCCCCCCCCCCCCCACCAACACCGACCACCCCCCCCCCCCCCCCAAAACAAAAATCCCCCAATTCCTGTGGGAGCTGGCTGAAGAATTGACGGAGCCTGGGACTGTACACGTGGCTGCGCTAGAGGCGAGGGTCCAGCTCACACTGTAACTGTCCCAAAGCTCCCTTCACTCTGTGGGTTTGGGACAGCGGCTCAGCTCCCCCATAAGCCAACAAAACTCACTTCCAAAGTCATGGTGTTGAAACTTCACCGAAACAGAGACAAGGGAGGATGCCGTTGAGGCTTTGAGCCATCGCCAGTGAAAGAGAGCTTCCAACACAGAGAAACAAGAGGCTACACACACACAGAGAGGGAGAAATTAAACCAAAATGTAAAGAGACACACAGACCGAGAGACGGGAAGTCAGTTCCCAGTTTCAGGGGTGAGATCCAGTTGACAAACCTCACTTTCCGTTGCTTTCAGAGAGTTTTGTGTAGCGCATTGTTGAAAACACGACATGAAACCGATGCAGTTCCAACTCACTCCTTCCCCCCTGCGTTCAAAGTGATTTCTACATTGATGTTGGCAACTGGACGCAATCCACCCCCTTGTCACTCAGCGCTGAAATAAACCAGGAACTCCTCCAAAATTACACTCACACCATTCACTCCCACCCTCCGGGAGGCTACAAGGCGGAGTCTCCGAGTCTGCTCATGTTGCTGGCCTGGGCACCTAGAAACAACAAATCCTACCCTGGTACTTATGTTTCTTTTTAAATGGGTACAATCTAGAAATAAAACTAAACTGGGCATCAGGAAGAGTGACCAGGCTGTTGTTGTAGTGCCCAGAAAACACCAGTTGGTCCACTTTAAGAAGAGGAAAGCTAGTACCACTAGCTATGTGACTCCAGTCCCACACTCAAGCGGCTGCTCTCTGAAGTCCCCCCGTACTTCGCTCTCGGAATCTTTTACATCCATGGATCTCCTTCAGTTCCCCCCCCTCTTTTCCCCTCTCCCACACTCACTTCAGCCAAAACTTCTTTTCACAACTCACAGAATTACAGAAGAGTCACTGTACTGAATGAGGCCAATTGGCCCATCATGCCTGCAGTAGCTCAATAAACAGGCAACATTATCTAGTGTGAACCTCCCGCCGTTCTTACCCTTACACACCATTTCTAACCAAATGCCCTCACCACATTGTCAGGCAGTGCATCCCAGACGGTGATTATTCACCAAGTGAAAATGGTTTTTCTCACTTCATTCTTGCTTCATTTGCAGATCACTTTAAATCTGTGCCATCTCTTTCTTATCCCTTTTATGAATGGGAACGGCTTTCCCGATCTAGTCTGGCTAGCCCACTCATGATTTTGAAAATCTCTATCAAATCTCCTCTCAATCCTCTTCTGTCCAGGGAGAACAGTCCCAACAACTTCAATCTATGCACATCACTGAAGTTTCTCTTCCCTGGAAACATTCTTGAAAACCACCTCTGCACTTTCTCTCCAATGTATTCACATCCTTCCAATAATGTGAAGCAAACACAATACTCCAGCTGAAGTCTAACAAGAATTAATGGGATCTGTTGAAAACTTTTAATATTTTGCTGCTGTTTTTGCCACTAAAGTGTAGTCGATTTACCAATTTTCATTCATGAAACTTTCTTCTTTTTGAGTTCTCGAGGCTAAACCACAGCACCCTGACCTCCACCCTGGATGGGACAAGGAAGCAGGTCCCAAACTGACCCCAAGCAGATGGAACCCAAACAAAAACAAAGTTGCTGGAAAAGCTCAGCAGGTCTGGTAGCATCTTTGAAGGAGAAAACAGAGTTAACGTTTCGGGTCCAGTGACCCTTCCTCAGAACCCGATTCACACTGACCATCTAGCCAATCCATCATCCCAAGAATCAGAGTTGTGGTCACAACATGTATTTGTACATGTATGTTGTCATCCGAAGCCTATGGCTAGTGATGGTGGAGATCCCCAGTTTCTCTCTATCACACGGCTGACCATGTTTCTCACCTGCTCAAACCCTGGACTGGAACACTTTACAGTCATATCCTGCATGACTAAATCATGAGAGTGTAGCAATCCTTGCGAAGGCAGTGCGTTGCCTCTAGGAAAACAGAGGTAACTTCCATTACTTCCCCTATACACACACACACACACACACACACACAGCCTCACACACACACATGGGCACACACACACACACAGACACACACACACACTCACACACACACATGCACACACACACGCACTCACACAAACATGCACACACACACACATGCACACACACACATACAAACACACTCACACACACACATACAAACACACTCACACACACACA